TGGGGGAGATTACAGGCGAGGCCAGTGATTTGCGGAGAGCATGCTTTCAGGAGAGACCAAGAAGCGAGGGAAGCAGCCGGGCGAGGAGGTGGTTCAGAAAGTTTCACTTCCGCTTGTCCCTAGGGGGCCCTGGAGCATCGAATCACACCACAGCCACCCCACCCTGAGTGCCCGTGTGTGTGTGTGTGTGTGTGTGTTGGAGAAGGAGGTAGCCACCTAGACATTCTATTTCTCCCCTCCACTCCCCTCCCTTCCCCTGTCTTTCTTTTCCCCTTCCCTTCCCCTTCCCCTTCTTCCCTTCTTCCCTTTTCTCAGAGAGTTACCTCCTAGGCATTTCTTTCCCTCCCTGACTTCCTCCTTCCATAAAAATACTCATTTCAGGCCAGCCCTGGCCCCTTAGCGCAGTGGTTAAGCACTATGTATAGGGAGCCAGATCCCACGTGGCCAACCTTGGTTTGAATCCTGGCCCCCAGTGCATGAGTACCCAAAATCTTAACTGGAAACAGAATGGAGGAAAGGGAACTGGGGCATGACCACACCCCACTGGAGGGTTCTTGTTCTCTCTGGTGAGTGCACATGCCCTTTGGCAATAAAAAAAAGGTGGGGGCATTTCTGGCCAAAGCAGCTCCTGTTGGCCAAGGGCAATTCCCTGGAGAAGGGGAGCCGTGGCAGCTGGAGATGGAGCCGAGCGAAGCACCACCAGCATCCCTGGCTAGGGGCTGCTAAGACAGTGAGACTCATGAGGGATAACCAACCCGTGCGGGATATGAAGCCCCCACACACGTCAGCTCACTGCGAAGCACAGATTTCCTGCAAGGACCAGGGGAACTAACCCTTCTGCAAGTCTCTGGCCCTTCTACTCTGGCCTGGGCAACCTGACAGGGTTCCTTCTGAGCTCAGGAGGGTCAGGCCTCAGAGGGATGGCCTGGGGACTTCCGGGCTGACCCTCACCCCGGACACTCAGGAGGGAGTCTCAGGGCCCCTCTGTCCTTGTGCCTCTGTCTGAACCTCCTCATTCCTCTCCCACCAGCTCCAGCCCAGGCCCAGATCGTCCACGCTGGCCAGGCATGTGTGGTCAAAGAGGACAACATCAGTGAGCGCGTCTACACCATCCGGGAGGGGGACACCCTCGTGCTGCAGTGCCTTGTCACTGGGCACCCGCGGCCCCAGGTAAGCCCCCAGCCTGGCGTTGCTCAGGTTGTCGGCCCCCCAGTCTCACTCTGGATTCAAAGCTGGAGAAGGGGCAGCAGGGGCTGGGGACCAGAGCTGTCCAGTGGCAAGTAACCAGGAGGCAGGAGACGGGCCGGGGAAAGAGCTGGAAAACGAACTCTGGGGATGGGCTGCAGGCTGGGGCTGATTCACCTGAAAACGCCGAGGCCGAGAGGAAAAACTGAATGCAGATTGCTCATTCCTACTTTGTTCCACGGATCTGTGGAGCAGCTGCATCCTAGAGGTACCTTCAGCCCACGTCTGAGGGCAGACCACGTGCCGAGGACCATGGGGTGTGTCCTTTAGAGTCTTCTCTTGAGGAAGGCATTCGCGCCCCCATTTTGCAGCTGAGGAAACTGAGGCTCAGGGAGGCTGGAGAAGTTCCCAAGGCCACACGGCTCCTGTGAGGGAGGCAGACCGGGATCTGGAGCCGGCCTTCTCTGTAGCGCCGCACACCTCCTCCCAGCTGGCCTGCCTTGGGGTTGGGGCTCCTCGAGTTACAGCATAGAAAACCATCTCTACTCCAGGAGGCTTCGAGCAGGCGAGCTCCACACTCGAGGTTCAAAGACTGAAAGCAATTAGAGAAGGACAGAAACGAGCGTCTAGAAATGCCAGATGAATTCTGTCACCGGCGGAGTGTGGTTCAGGCAGAAACCTCCGCGGTTATCCCTGAGAACTGATGGGAAAAGGCAGGGAGGAGGCGGGCTGCAGGGAGGGGTGGAATTCGCGGGTAAGCTGCTGTCACCTTTAATAGCAGCATTAAGGTGGCAGTTAGATCCTAGGGAGGACAGCGAAATACAAAGTCCTTTTTTTCTGGATAATTTGGGGAAGAGGAATGCCTTTAGTAGATTTGGCCTTGAAACAAGCAGATGTACATGGAAACCCCTAAAGACTCTCCCATCCTGAAACTATGACCACTTCTTGGTCCTTCTCAGAAGTTCCGTTAGACGTGAAAACGATGCCGCTGGATTTAGGCTGGCGTAAGTGTCAGGGGTGACTATGAACGTGGGTGGGGACAATTCTCCCTAAAAGCCAGTGAGCCAACTAGGCCATCTCTCCCAAAGGCCGCACGGGCTGTCTGTCCTCCTGTGCGGCCCGTGGATGAGTCACTTGTGGCTGCGGCTCTGTGTTTTGTTTTTCATTATTTTGTAATGTAAGTAGGTAGTGTGTGCACATGTGTGAGAGAGGAAGTAGAAAGCACCCCCCAGGGGGATGGCTACACTGCAGTCCCATCTCCTCCATTCTTCTCTTGGGATTTTGGGCATGTACACGTAAACACCCAGCATGCTTTTTCAAACTTCCAGGTCTGGGACTTGAACTGCAATGTGCCGGCAATGTGGGATTCAGCTGCCTTAGCCACCATGCCACCAGCTAGATCCATGTACCCATTTTTCAGTTTCCATCAGTGGTTTTAATATTTGCTCTACTCCCCAGGCTTAAACCCTTGGGCTTATACAAAATTCTGCACCATCTCATTCCCCACATCTGGCTAGACTCTGAGGCCTTTCTTGTTAGGTCTCTTACGTGGGTCTTCTTCCTCACTACCTTTTAGGTCAGACCTTCAGCCCTATCCCTTGGGCCACTGAAGCAGACTCTAAACTGACTTCCCAGTCTCCCACCTCCCCCCCTCCAATCCATTCCTGCACTCTGCTACCAGAATGGTCACCCCTGAGCCTGCCACCTCATAGCACTCCTGCTCAGAAGCCTTCAGTGGCCCCCTGTCCCTTACCAGGCCTGTTTAAGCTCCTAGGGGTAGAACTGAAGACCTTCTGCAGTCTGACCCCCACTTGCCTCCTTGGTGTGACCCCCACAGCCATCCTCCTGTCAGTCAGACTCGCTCTCCGTCATCCCCCTAGTGCACCCTGT